GAGCCTCTTACCTTTGACCTGGATATCCGCTTTCAGCAGGTAAGTTCCTCTTGTTTAAAGGTTAGTGATCCTTGTGGGGCAATTAAGTAAGTAAAACCAGGATTCAGCAAGAAATGGAGGCCAACTCAAACAATTATATATTAAAATAAGCAATTACTTTTACTCTGTAAAATTTTAAAAATCTAAAACCAAAAGTGAAGTATAGTGTTCTGTTATCACAGTTAAATAACATATTATTTCAACTACACTGATTGAAGTTATGAAATTAACATGCATGGATTAAGTCACATATTTTACTTGGGTTTATTTAAATTCAGACCACTGTTGTACATTTGAAACAAGTACCTGTTAATCTTTGTGAATACTGGATGACGTGTTTTATTTATTCACCCCTTTTCCTTCATTCATTACTTCCTCTAAGTCACATCGCTTGGTTCATATTTACACATTTATTTTTCTTTCACTCTCTATTGTCTGGATCAGCTGAGAAAAAGAGGCAACACCACTAATTAGTCAAAAAGTTTCTACTCTTCTCATTTTCTCAGAGAGTGGCACATCACTAATCAACATCCCACTTTCAATCTTTTAACTGTACCTGCAGTGATGTGTGACTCCTTATGCTGATGCCAACATCGACCTGGAGTGGTCATACAAATCCCCATCTAACTTATCCCCAGTCCAAAGATATCCAGTGAAATCTCATTTTGTTTAACATAAATTCCCAGTGTATTCCAGTAAAAAAAGGAAATGAAGACAAGCAAGCAAATTCTCACATTTGTGAAGCTGTAATCTTACATCTTTTACAAATGTGTTGGTCTTATTATGCAGAACATGAAGGTGAGTAGTGGAGCTATTTGCAAATACAAGGAAGACTGTGAATTTATTGAGAAGTGTGTCATACTCCCGCTGACACAGTCTACAAATGACCAGACACACTGGATGCACTGTCCATTAGGTGTAATCATGTAGCAAGCAGTATTTAAAAAATTCACAGTGTCCATCTAAAAACCATTTTTGAGTGTTGTGTCTTGTATGTGTTTCTAGGTCAGCGACACCGTGGCTGCTGAGTTCAGTCTGAACACGCACATGATTTTATTCTCTAAAAGAACGCTCTGGCTCTCAGACAGCTCCATGGGCTTTGAACAGGAAAGTGACACTGTCTTCTCACAGGGTAAGGCAGCAATGTGCAGCCAAAAAAGACAAATGTCCTTGAAGGTTTTTTGGAAGTGCCAAAATTGAATGGGTGGCTGTGAATGTATTTCATTGCTTAGCTCCTAGGACTTAGGAAGTAATGTTCCCCATTAGTTCCTGATTCAACAGGATGAAACAAAAATGAGGCCTCCATGAATTGTCATTTTGACCACTTGAATGTCTTTTCTCAAAACAAACTAATTAGGAGAGTGTGAACTTTATTACTTCCAAAAAGGTCTTGAACGTTTTTGAGAAACCCTTGAAGCTGCTGCTCTTGTCAAGAGTTAGAGAGCAGTTTTATCTTAGGTTTTAAAGTTGCTTTCATTAAAACCATGAATACTATGCACATATGTTGTGTTACATGTGTTTCGCTGTGATGAAAACTGTATTTCCCTCCCCCCCCAGGGGACACAGTGTATGGCCGAGTGATGGTGGATCCAGTGCAGAACTTGGGCGACTCCTTCATTTGTAACATAGAGAAAGTGTTCCTGTGTACTGGAGCTGATGGATATGTCCCTAAATACAACCCCAGCAACTTTGAGTTTGGCTGCCTGGCTGATGCTCCATCACTTCTCTACAGATTCAAGATCATTGTGAGGAAACAAAAGTACATCATTCATCCAATGTATGTGATTTGTGTCCATTTAAACTTAAACATTCTTTCCTGTTTCACTCCAGGACAAGGCCCAGCCAGAAACCCAGGCCCGGTCGTTTGGTAATGTAGCTTTCAATGCCTTCCTGGCAGTGGATGATGCTGGTGCCTTAGCTCTAGTGAGACAACCTGGGTCAGATGGTTTCAAAATGGATTCCTCAGCTCTCTTCCAGGTTAGTATGCAGGTCATGTACGAGAAACATTTATTTTATGTGCGTCTGTGTTTTTGGCTTGTTAAGAACGAAAGGTATTGGTATTTCTACAGGCCTCACGAGCATAAATCAATTGCTGTAAAGTTTTCTCCTTTTCAGCTCCATTGTACAGTAACTGCACTGGACATACTGAATGTTTGAAGTGACATTTCATTGTTATGTTGGTCCAGATATACACTAAAAGTGGCCTAGAGGTATAGCTGGTATAAAACTGTTGCTCCCTCCAGGTGTCTGCAGGGAGAGAGTGGTATATTCACACCATCTACACTGTCCGTTCTCGGGATAATGCTAACCGTGGCATAGGGAAGAGAAGTCTGGAATACCATGTGATGGGCCAGCACACAGATCTGCTTCCAAAGGATCAGCATCGCACCAGAAGATCAGCCAATGATGTGCCAGACATAGAGGAGATCGGTGCGAGTAACAACCGTGGCACCAACATCCTGCACATCACGCTGGACCGCAGCAACCAGCAGAGGACAAGCATAGAGAGGGAGATCTTTACCAAAGGGATCATCCCCCATGAGCTCAACCACAAAGACAGTGACAACAGACTAGTGTTGATCATTGGTATCTTTGTCGGGCTGCTCCTCACCATTCTCATCATCATTGTGGCAGTGTTATTGGTCCGGTGTAAGCGAGAGAAGAAAGATGTACCCAAGAACTCCAGCAGCGCAGAGCCCATGATGACACCAGGCCTCAGTAGTAGTGACAGCTCAGAGGTCTAACACACAGCCTGACAACTGAGAGTTTGTTTTATTTTGCAAGTGCCTCACATTTAGATAAAAAGTGAAGATTGTGTGTGAAGAAACACAAATTGCAAGAGCTTTGATTCTATTCAGAAATCTACTTGAAATATTGCATCAGGAAGTGGTATGGACACTGACTAGGACACAGACTGTGTTAGTAGCGCTTTCAAGGTACTTGTAAAGTTGTCAGCCCTCACTTATTGATTTGCTTTTGGCACCACTTGATCCAAAAAAAAGGTGTTATTATGTTTCCAAAGGTGCTACAGATGATGCCTCTTAACTTGAATGGCATTTGGTGTTTTACTGAGTCAGTCAAAACAAGCTGGATTATTTTACATATTATAGTAGTTAACAACATGCTTTATACGTTTGATGCTCTGCATTAAGGCACTGTCCATAGTCTGCTTACACTGGGTAAATGTCTGTTCTTATAAAGATTGGTTTGTCCTTAGATTCAGTGCGTGCCTACAGGACTTTGAGGTGTCATGATGTGTTATGTCTTGTGTGATCGGTAATACATTCATTCAGATGATTTCATTTTCATTTGACTGTGGTTTCTTATGCTCATGCTTTTGCATGCATTTATTTTTGATTGAAATTGTAAAAAAAAAACAAAAAAAAAACAAAACTGAAGGCTGAATTTGAACTGAATTGTGACAAATCTCATCTACATTTACACTAGATTGTATTTTACAGCCTATCACATGAAAACTATTTATTAGTAGCTCATTTTTATTGTTATATTCCCTCCAATATTTAGTTATTGAAATATCATGAGACCTTGTAATTGACACGTGGCACTAAATCAACAAAGATAAGTTAAACTGTTGAGAGTTTGTAGTACTGAGCCGACTTTCAAGACAGCTGGTCTGTACAGTGTAGTACGCTGTAGTAGTGGGTCCAGATCCACTGTTTCCAACAGGAATTATTTTCACTCGTAGCTCAACTGGTATGCTGAAATTCTAATGTTAACTACTGTAGTGTAACAGACACAGCTGGGACTCTACATCTCTCTAAGAACAGGGTGTCGACTGGGCTGTTATATCTTTTAACACTTGCAATATCATCTAATAAATTTCACTTAAAGGGAATTAAATGTTTTACCCACAATCATCTTGTTAAAAATTCTCTCCCTGATTAATTAGTTTTAAATGTATTTATTTTTAATGCATTATTTAGCACATGCAAATCGTATATCATTTCCTCTCCCTTTTTAATTTTGATTTGAACCTGTTTTATTGTACCGCTTGTACTTTGTAGATTATACTGTACAATACACATACAGTTTATGCCATTTGCTTTAAAACCTTGCACAGATGAGGTGGAACATTATACAAACTTCTCATGTATCAGTGTTTTGGCTTTGTCTTGTTTCAGATCCAGGCACCATATTGCCATCAAATCTGATTACCTCATAGCACTGTATACTGAATAAGAGACACCAACTTCATAGTCAGTTTATTTGTCAGGCTTATATTTTACTTTGAAATCAAGAACTATTCTATGCAACCTGTGATATCATACCTTCATGAAATGTTTAGCCCAAAATTTCCCCTCAGTGCACAGCTGCTTGCTAAATTAGGTTTGACACTGGTTCTTTTATTCCACTCCAATGCATTGAGCTTTTTATGCACATGTATATGCATATGCATTGCCTATAAATATACCCTTTAGTTGTTTTGGGAATGGTTATTGTTAAATTGCATACTGTATGTGCTGTGAGTAAGAACAGGCCAGAAGCACAAAGTGGTCTGCAAATAAATTTTTCAAAAAAAAACAAAATTGTATGTTTTTTTGATAAAATATACATTTCAGCTTGAAGATGTTTTTCAGTAGTGTCACAGGGAGGGAAATGTGTGAAGTCACTTAAAACCATTGCCATAAACATCCACTGATCCAGGTGAACCCTTTTTTGTCAAAATGCAGAATATAAGGCCTTCTGAGAAGAGAGAGACAAGGCACTTACAGTAACTACTACAAATTGTTCTGTGGTTGCTCTTATTATTCATTCAGGATGAAATTAAATGTAGATGTGCATCCACCATATCTACTTATCTTGTCATTTCCTCAGTGCCACTATTCAGTGATTAATGGTCTAATTTACATGAACAAACAGGTCAGTTCCCCTCAGTGCAAGTCAGGCATAATGAGTAGGCCAATACATTTACAACAACTCAGTAAACCATGTGCTTTTATTACCAGTGCATATTCATAGAGAAAACAAGCGTGTTTGTATTGTATGACAAACAACGTAGAGTAAAATCTTTCAGACATCTTAAAATGGTGAGCCTCCGACTCTTCAAAGATGCCTGAGCTCCTGTTTGGCAACAAATCAATCAGTGCATGAAAAACAGCTTCCTGGGTGACTAAATCGGGCCATGTTCTGTAGCACAAGACATCTTCACACTGCGGCGGGTGCACGTTTGCATGTGGGAGTTTAACACAGCCCTGTGACTAATTACATCAGGCCAGGAAGTTGTCTTTTCCTTGCACCTTTGACTCTCTTCTGTTGTGGCACCAGGCTTTCTTATGACATTATACAGAATGAACAGGAGGGGGAGTAAGAGCAGCAACAGCTCTACTGCTACAGGCTTGTCCTCAGATCTAACAGCATTAGAAACTATTCTGAAGCTTGGATGAGTTTGCTGGCAAATGCCATCTAATAAGTCACTACTTCATCATTTTGTAATAGTTTCCTATGTGAAAGCAAATCTAACTAACCGGCTGCAAAACAGAATTCATATTTCATTCCAAGAATTCTTATGACATTGAATCCACACTATGTTAAATGAACTGTTTCCTGACATCGCTCCCAGTGTCCCTCTCATCTGAAGTTGCTACTTCCATATGGTGACTAATTTGGGTGGATTTCCTGAGATGTGTATTAACACATTAATGAATAAACTATAAACACATTTAATTGTTAAAGGCAAAACAAACTTTGTATGAGCCCGTGAGCTCATTCAGAAAAGTGAAGCTTAGAAAACCTGTTTTTAAATGACATTCTGAATGAAAACAAAGATTGGCTTGCAGCCTTGGAAAAGAGCTGCATTGTGCACAAACGCCAATCTAAATTTTCTGCCGAATTCTGCTTTAAGGTGAAATTTCTCTGTAAGGACCATGGATAAAGTATGAAGCTCCAACGAAAAACCAAAACACATGAATTTAGAAAAATAATTTGTAAATGCTGAGCTGGTGTATAAAATAAATTAACTTTGTGTTTCCTTTAAAACAAACAGATATTAACAAAACATATTGTGCTGATTACATTAGCAATAAATATGACACTTGTTTTAAGCATGTGCTGGGTATGGTCTCAAAAGCACACTTCTTACAGTAACAGCTGCCATACACACGTTTACAATCCTGGAAACTGTGGCTGCTGCTCTCTGAATTGTTTCAAAGTCATATCACATACATACTCAGTGAGCTAATATACACAATATACATTTATGTATATACAGTACATACAGCTAATCAGTGCACAGATGGCGGTGACATTTCTATGCAAGATGTCAGTAAATGAGAAATCTTCTTTGCTAGGAAGCATAGCGCAGTTCATTTCACTGTAAGCATCAACTAGTTCATGGAAAAAGCAACACTGCATTGTCGCCTAGACATTAAGATAAAATAAAACGTCATGCATTTGAACAAGGTATGGCTCATTAAAATACTTCATTCCATCTCCTACCCTGTCCGGTCTCACAGAAAGCACTGTGTAATTATACCATCAACTCACCAAAAAGCTTTGGCATGTTCCGTACCACCGATCCATATCTTTATGTCCATTACTTGTCCCAAGGAGGCTACATCATCCAACTTTAAAAACAACCTTCAGTACACATCATCAGAAGAGTTAACTTGGGTTCAGACAATTATATCTGGGAGATTAGCTGATGTGCACATCAAAAGGCTGTACTGGAAAGGTCATTGCACCCTGGGGAATTTGTCGCTTGTGTCATTATCAGTGCTTACGGTTGATGGCTGTCTCAGGTCTCTACTGCAGGTAGCGGTACACCTTGAAGCAGTGGTTTCCAGAGTCTGCCACCGCCACATGGCCATCAGAGGTGAGGGCCAGGCCCTGGGGGCCATAAAGGGGGTCCGCTGATGTATTGATGTAGGACAGGAAGGACCCAGAGCTATCAAACACCTGGTTGGTAACACATCATATATGGACAAATTGGGTAAGTGATATAATACAGTAAATTTGCTTACTGCATTCAGTAAGATGTAGGATGAGAAAACTAACCTGGATCCGACTATTGCCCCAGTCAGCAACAATGATATTCCCATTGGCATCCACAGCCACACCTGTTGGAGCATTGAACTGTCCGTTGCCCTCTCCATGAGAGCCAAATTTAAACAGGAACTCCCCATCTGCATTGTACACCTACAGGAGATAATACACAGGAAAATGGAAAAATGACTGTTGTCACACACAATAATGCACGTTAAGCAAAATAGGATACAAAGGATGTTGCTAAAATTAACAGTCATGCACAACAGCTGTTTACCTTTTACATTTTTTTACTTTTACTGTTTTATATGCACTTTGGCAAGACTAGCAATCACTGTGAAAGAACAGGAATATCCCCAGTACTTCATTCAGATTAACGAAGTTGTAAAAAAAATGCTTTGGAACATTTTCAGTAATCAAATATATGATTTATTTATTTACAGTGTTTCCTGTGCAGGTTTACAAGAACAGAAAATGTCAACACAAACTTACAACAAACCATACCTTGACTGAATGGTTATGAAAGTCTGTCACCACAATTTCATTTTTATTATTTACAGCCACAAAGTGAGGACCTGGAAGCGGGACAGGAGAAAGAGAAGGAAAAAGGAAAGCTGTGTCATCCACTGCTGTAAAACATGACAGGAAGTTCCACACTATTTTTGGATGTTGGAAACAAGACACACAGCAGTCACAGAGAGACTCAGAGCTGACGTGGGACAACACCGGAGACATGACGGAGCAAAAGAACAGATTCATTTTCTTAGTTCACACTCAATTACTTACTGAAAACAGGGCCAGATTTACTAAGCTTTTGTTCCAGTGCAATATTTGCACCACTTTTTTCTACAAGAAAAGAAAAGGTCCAGGTGAGAAATAAAGGAACAAGTGAGTTAACTGAAATAGTGCTGTCTGTGCAATAACTTAAGCCACATCAGTCAGTAATAAGCAAATCCTAATAAATTATTTTTGTTCCATTAAATATGAGGAGAGGAAAAGACAGAAAAGCAACTGCCACATATTTTCCATTCTTTAGTGTGTATTACAAATGTTGATCCCTACATCTCTGTCTTGTACTATGAAGATCAGGGTTGTGTTTAATATCAGTGCAAAACTAAAGAATCATTAAATAAGCAGTGTTACATGCATACATTAAGTGGAGTCTTTAAAAAAAAAAGATGTGCAACATGCTAACCACTAAATAAATCAAATCTGTGAAATGAATATTCCTGTAAAGAATTAAATCAGATCCGTAAATCTGGCCCAACATGACCTGACACATGAAGCATCAGATGATGTGCATCTCAGCCTCTTCCTGTAAAGTAAGAGACATCATTAATGAAATGATCATACTGATACTTGTAGTAGCACACAGTACCTGTGAAGTGTCTGTCTGATGTCCCTCTGGCTCCGAACTTTGTCACCAGCTTCCCATTTGATTGAAAGATGAAGACACAGCAGGCCTTATTATCAACAGTGATGATATGCCCATTCTTATCCACAGCCACACCTTTGGGTCCCATCAATCTTCCCGCACCAATTTTACTCTGTTATAGCCAGACGGACAGTTTGGTCATTCAGCTGAATATTTTTAATTTGTATATGCACTTTTTTTTTTTCCTGGCTGAGAACATTCACCTTGAACTTTCCATCCGAGGAGAAGATGCTAATCCATCTGTTGTCATAGTCAGCTACAATGATGTCACCATTCATGTCCACTGTGACCCCTGTGGGGCGCTGCAGCTGCCCTGGTGAACGACCTCTGACCCCAAACCTCATTTTAAACTGACCATCATTTGAGAATACCTAGAAGTAGAGGATGTTATATAATGCCACGCCTTACGCAGTGCAATAATTCATATCATTTTATTGCTGCTAAAGGGAATAATGACCTGTATACACTGGCTGTTGCTGTCTGCCACAACAATCCGTCCATTACTGGAGGTCGTGATGCCTTGTAGGTTAGTGAATTCTCCTTTATCTCTCCCTCTTGTTCCTGTTGAAATAAAAAAAGAGATTAGGCTGCTTTAGAGGTATACATGTTAAAATACCTCTTGAAAGGTTGAGCTGTTATGTTGCAACTGTTTGAACAGAGGGAACTATTTTGCAGCACAGAGGAGGCCTAAAACTGAACACTGCATTATCAGGTACTCAGCTTATCCAGAAACAGAGAATTAGAGAGACTGTGTGCTTTAATGCTAAATATTTTGTAGCCCAGTCAGCAATTACGGAAGAGTATTAGGGTCACTGCATAAATATCTGAGAATAAAGTCAAAATTCTGAGATTAAAGTCAGAATTTAAAAAAAAATGTATGCAGTGGCCCTAATACTCTTCCGTATACCATAACTAACGGGGGACCAAGCCAGTTATTCACCCACCCACTCTGTAGATCAGCTCATCCTCTATTGGGTTTTCCTTTTTCTTTGTGGTGCTGTACATGCTGGAGGGCCTGCGCACAGCCTTCTGTCGAACATGACCTCCTCCTCCACTTGGGGACTTCACTCGTCTCTTCACATCGTCTGGTGACTGCAAGACGTCTGACGGTTTGACAGCACGCAAACGGAACGGACTCCCCCTCACAGGCTGTTCATACAGCAACAAAGAAAACATGTATTCTCCCTCTGAGCGGATGGTATATCCAACATCATAGGTGCCATTTTTGTTGTCCACGACCTCAGCTTCAGTGCACACACCATCTGCAGAAACAATCTCTGCCCTTAGAGCAGCATTGCCAGTCTTCACCAGTTCTCCATCCTTATCTTTAGTAGTGACTGTGACTGTAGTGTGCTGGCCAACCAGCGCGTGCCGCAGACCTTCACCAGTGGCAACACTAGTATGGCCTACAGCTCCGGTTGTGATCAGGACTCCCAGGTTCTGGATGGAGCGCCTCAGTCCATCCGTCTCTACTTGGCATTCCAGATGACCATTTTCATGGGGATGTTCAGGAAAATTGTGTCGTGCCAGGGCACTGACGCGCTCACCCATCTGCTTTTGGACCAACAGGACCTCTGTAGCACTGCCATGGCTCAGTGCCTGCTCTGTGAAGTTGCAGCTGCTTTGAATGTTTTCTTTGCTCTGAAGCAAAGAGGTCAGCTGGGCTTGAAGCACCTAATACCCAAAGAGGCAGAAGCAGACAGTCAATGGTGCTTAAGTTAAAATGTGGAAAACACAGCACATTTTCAGAGCTCTGACCTTCTGCTTGGTGCTACAGATGTTTTCCACTTCTGTAATGAGAGCAGTCTTGCGTTGGTATAAGGCCTTTTCCAGCTCATCAAAAGTGTTAGTGATTTCAGTCACTGCCTCATTTTTCCGCTCCATAAGCTGCTTGGAGATCTCACTCACAAGCCCGATGGCAGTTGTCAGCTGAGGTAGTCTGCCCGAACAAAATAAAGATGATGAAGAGCAAATCAGACTTTCAAATTAGCATTCTTTCCAATACTTCTACAGCCCAATATGCATTATGAAACAAACCACTAAAATCTATACCTGTTGCGCACAGTGTCCAGCTGATTTTTAAGTTCTGACTTGTGCTGTTCCAGCACATCCCTCAGAGGAACTGTCACATGTTCTCTGTGTTCTCCTTCTGTACACTCCAGACACATGGCCGTTTCACATGACTGACAGTAAAACTCCATCACCTGTAGGTGGCGCAGTGGAGCATAAAAAAACTGAACATCATATTTCTGTAGATAAATAGGCTTTTAAATTCTAGACATATTTGATACAAAATCTTGTTAACAGTACATACAGCAATGTTGACCTCTGACCGATCTAGCCTACTATTTGTCTGGGTTCTTTTGTTTTAACTTACCTTGCCTTCATGGTTTGGGCAGGAGAGGGGTGGACAAGCTGTAGCTGCACTGGCTGACTCAAGAACACTGCAGGTCTCAGGTCGGCTGCACTCTGGGTCTCGCTGCAACACCTCCATTAGGTTTGTGATGAAGAAGTTGTTCTGCAGGGCCGCCACACCCTTCTCTGGCAAGATAGAGGTCTGTCTGCATACTGGGCAGGACAGTGTCAGTGACTGAGGGGGGATGTAGTTCTGTAGGCATCTACACAAAGACAAGATGCAAGAGAAATTAATTTGAAAGGTCAATGTGGTGTCATTTTTTTGTTTGTCAGAAAACAACATTCTAGTGCTTGCAGTTTTCAATGGGCACACAGTAACAGACTGCACCAAATTCTTTAATTAACTGCATTCTCTCTCCTATGTGGAAGCAGCAGAGCTGTGGAAACCAAAGTGATCGAGGCCTTAGAGAAACCACAATGACAAGGGAACAGCTAGTGGGGGGTGGTGTGATTTGAGGCCATTCACAAAATGTTTTAATTTCTTTAGGTATAATGCATCCCATTTAGAGAATCTACTGTAGGTAGAGGGGACACAAAACACTGCAATGCACTAAACTATTTACATCTTTTCTTATATGATATCAAAAACATTTTTTTCTATATCTTGTCAAAAAAGTGTTAAAAGCTGTCTCATCTTGGATTTTTGCTTAAAAAATGCTTAATGGCTTTAATTAGATTCTTATCTATCATCTTCTCTTTAATTGCCTCCCACTGTTTTACTATTTGTCTTTCAACTGTCATATTAATCTTTTTAGCTTGTCAGTGACCTGTAAAGCACTTTAAACTGCATTAACGTGCTGTGCAAATAAAGTTTGGCTAATTGGCTTGGAGCTTACTTCTCACAGAATGTGTGCAGGCAGGGCAGGACCTTGGGGTTGTGATAATGGTCCAAACAAATGCTGCAGACCAGGAACTGCTTGTCTATCTGCCTGACCACAGGGCTGGTGCTGCCGGTCTCACGCTTAGCCATGATGATGGATGTTCAAAGGGGGCAAAGGGACCACTTAATCTGCACACACACAAGATGGAAGAAACAGGAGAAGGGTCAAGAAAGCCTTGAGGAACCACTCAGAGGGTGAGGAGGGTGTATTTGCCTAGAGTCAGCATGAGCACAAGGAAGAATGAGTCATAATATTGCCTGTTCACATTAGAAAACCTCACCCAAAGTCCTGTTAACTGCAGGCATGCCAGACTTTCCTTCTCCTATTAAAACTATGCCAGTAGGATCCCACAAACAGCATAGCCGGAGGTCATGTGAATTTTTTTTTTTTTTTAAAAATCCAAATTAAGCTAATGTGGTAGAAAAAAAAGAATCTATGTGATTAACACCACAGGGCAGAACTCTCAGTCTAGGAGCCAACATGTGTGTAGGTAAAAATGCTGTTAACAAAAACTGTTTTAATGCATCTTGTGTTTCACTCCCAGCAACGTTGCACATTACACAGTCATCTGTGTCATTAACATTTTTTCAGTCCTGGCTGAGTGGATGCCTGCTGGCTCTCTGTAGAGATCAAAGTTACCATTTCATGAAACTGCATCACTGGGTCAAGCACAGATTAGCTCAGCGTGCCAATGACATGTGGTACATAAGCACATAAAGCATTAGGAGAACACCAACACCACAGTCACACTGCTTTAATCAAATCAAATCAAATCAAATTTTATTTGTATAGCGCCAAATTACATCAAAAGTCATCTCAGGACACTTTACAAAGTAAGGTCTAGACCTTACTGTTATCAATATTATTACATAGGGAAAACCCAACAAATCCCCCTTGAGCAAGCACTTGGTGACAGTGGGGAGGAAAAACTCCCTTTAACGGAAGAAACCTCCGACAGACCCCGGCTCTTGGTGGGCGGCCTTCTGCCTCGACCGGTTGGGGTGAGTGGATAGAGGAGAGACAAAAGAAGAAAAGCAACAAGACACAACAA